AAGAGCATTGCAGTGGACATACCTGTAGCTAAATACTGGCTCACACCCCTGATTTTTCATGAAGTAGTTCTAAGGATATAGTCAGAGTTTCATACTAGAAAAATACTTTTGATGTCTGGAATGTGGATATGGGAGGGCATTAGAAAATATCAGGAGGGAATCAGCCAAGAGGCTGGGTCCGATTCCTAGTGAGCACTTGATGGGGCTGCAACCAGGGTAGAGGCCTTGGAAACTGCAGGGCAGACAGGAGAGTCTAGGAAGAAAGGCCAAAGGAAGAAGAAATTCACACAAATTGAGCATCTAGTATACCACAGATTATGCTGGGCACATACACATCAACTCAGCTACTGCTCAAAACAAGCCAGACTAGTAATTATCGTCTCCATTTTACAAGTGAAGGACAATAAACTGCCCTCATTTCTCAAACTCGATATTCCAGCAAGAGGGAACTATTAGAGTTTCTTGCATGTTGATCCTCTTACACACACCTCACCTTTACTCCTCTACCTGGCGCTTCCTTGAGGAATCCCTTCCTTAGCAGCTCCCCCCCAAACTCCAGGCTGGGGAAGGTCTCCTCTTCTGGACTCCTCAGCCCAATTTTCACTGTCACAGCACTAATACCCCTGTATTGTCCCTGTCTCCCCCCACCCCCACTCCAGACCACTAGCTCCTTGAGGGTAGCATCCTCTCTAGGGCCCAAGTTCCTAACACTGAGTCTGGAAGGTATTAGTAACTACTGAATAAATAAGCTCAAACAGATTAAATGATGTGGCTAAGGTCACATGAGTTATAAGTGAAGGAGTAGAGGGTCAAACCCAGGTCTGTCTGACTCCAAAACACCTGCTCTTTACCACTTCAGTTGCTTTTGCTTGGCCTGCCTAACCCAACATCTTTCTTTTTTGCCCCCAAGGACTGAGGAGGAGAAGAAAGACTGGGTCCAGGTAACATCTAAGGCGGCTTTGTGGTAGGGGGCTGGAGGAGTATTAACAGGTCTTCCAGGGGTTGGTGAACTCTCCCCTAAAACTCATATCTGACCAGTATGGGCCTGGACAGCAAACTTTCCCATCGCCTTTGTACAGATAAGCTCACTGAGGTCCAGAGGTTAAGCAGAAACTCAAATTCTTCCTTTAGAGACCTGGCTCCTCTGAGGGTATAAGCCCAGTGAGTTAAGCCCTATAAAAACCTTATGCCCAGACAGTGGCTAGGAAGGCCTTCTGAGGATTTTCAGCCACTGATCCCCCTCCCCCATTTCACAAATATAAGAACTGAGACCTGGATACAGGAAGGACTTGCTCAAGGTTATATACCTATCAAGGGGCAGAGCTGTGCCTAGAACCCAGGCTGACCTCAGGCTAGGTTACAGGAAAGTGAGGTGAGGGTAGAAATGGGTGGGTTGTGAGGTGATCTGACCTCTTATGTATTATTCCTCCTCCCCAGGCCATCAACTCCACCCTTCTGAAGCATGAACAGACGCTGGAGACCTTCAAACTGTTGAACTCAACAAATAGGGAAGATGAAGACACACCCCCTAACTCTCCAGTAAGAGTCCCCACCCCGCTCCCTCACCACTGGGCCTCCAAGTCCCCACCTTACCTGGAGATGCTTCTCTCCCCTTCCCAGAGAGGAAAGACCAGAGAGGCAGTGCATGACTTCAGAAGCGCAGTCTTCTGTTGGTAGGGCTGCAGAGAAATCACTGGGGAAATACAGGCCTAAAAAGTAGAAGTGACTTGAGTGAGGTAGGGATAGAGCCAGGACTCAAGGGCAGGTCTTCTGAATGTGTCTGCTGCCTCCCAGTGATGATCCAAGCCTTGGGGCAGAGGCACGGGATGGCGGAACTGGGCTGGGGAGTAGCTGTCTCTGACCTGGGACCTGGCCCTCTCTCCAGAATGTGGACCTTGGGAAGCGGGCACCTACACCCATCCGAGAAAAGGAAGTCACCATGTGCATGCGCTGCCAGGAACCCTTCAATTCCATCACCAAGCGCAGGCACCACTGCAAGGCCTGCGGGCACGTGAGTGTTGGGAGATGGGCGGAGCTACGGTGGGGTCAGGCTGGCAGCCTGGAGGCCCACTTCTGAGAGGGCATGGTGCAAGTGGGGAAAGGCCAAGAGTCCACTGTGGGAGTTGGTACACCAAAGGGGAAGGCCTTCTGGAATCAGGCATCTCTTGCCCACTTGCCACTCCAGGTGGTTTGTGGGAAGTGCTCCGAGTTCCGGGCCCGCCTCATCTATGACAACAACCGCTCCAACCGTGTGTGCACTGACTGCTACGTGGCCTTGCATGGGGTGCCTGGGAGTAGCCCAGCCTGCAGCCAGCATACACCCCAGCGCCGGAGGTCCATCCTGGAGGTAAGAGCCAGGCCTATGACCACTAACCCTCACACACCAACCACATGAGCCCCAGCCACCCATCCAGTGTGACTGAGGCCTAGGTATCTCTGAAACCATATGGTGTCATGTGTATCCACTGAACAAGTGACCCAGGCTTGCAGTGAGTAAAATGAATGCAACAGGGAATGAAAGCCAATGCTTTAGACATTTAATCTTCACAGTAACGAATCTATCCATGCATTACTGTCCCTATTTCACAAATGAGGAAACAGGCCCATGGAGGTTATTTACTGAAGTTACACAACCAGTAAGTGGCAGAGCTTGCATGTGTTTTTAATTAACATATTATCTTTTCTTATTACAAAGTAGGATATGTGCACTGAAGAAAAATAGACAATATAAACAAAAAATAATAAAAACACCCTATTTCTTCTACCCACTAGATTACCACTAACACTTATGCTTCCTATCTTTCTAGGCGCGTGCACATTTTGGTTTTGTTTCTTAACCAAATCGAGGTATTTATTTTATTTAACATTTAAAGAACTCTTACTCTGTGCCAGGCACTATTCTAAGCGCTTTGCTTCTATTAATTCATTTAATCCTTAGGATAGCTCTGTATGCTTTCCTTCCAAGTCAATACATTTTCACCTAGAGCTGGGATTCTGAGCCAGTCTGCTTTACCTAACCCCCTCCCCTTAACCACAATGCCAAGTTGCCTCTTGCTGAGTATAGGGAATGGATATGTGATGAACAATGAAAAAAAGTGAGGTAGAAATGCATAAATGACTTGAGGAATAAATAGACTGATGGAAGAATGCCTGACTGGCATTTAGGTGCCCCTTCTGAGAGCTGTACACCCCTCCCACCAACTCTTAGAGGTAGCAGCCATGGCCTGTCTGACTCACTGGGGACACTGGGCAAATCATTACTGCCACTTGAGTTTCAGCATCCTCATCTTAAGTATGGGCATAGCAATACCTACACTAACGGGTGTTGGATCCTAGAGGAGCCAGGCTAGGCCTTCCATCAACATTGATGCCCTCTATGTCTCTGGCCACAGAAACAGGCCTCAGTGGCTGCGGAGAACAGCGTCATCTGCAGCTTCCTGCACTACATGGAGAAGGGCGGGAAAGGCTGGCACAAGGCATGGTTCGTGGTCCCTGAGAATGAACCCTTGGTGCTGTACATCTATGGAGCCCCTCAGGTATGCATCCTTCGGGTCTTTTCAGCCACCTGGCAAAACCAGGCTGCCCCCTTCCCCTTCAGTCCTTGATCTCTTCTTGTCCTTGGGGGATTGGGTGCGCTTAAGCGGAAATCAGAACACCCACTCTTGTGAGACAAAAACTGGCTAGAAACAAGGAGTGACTATGGGCCAATGTATGTAGGCAAAAGTGGAGTGAGTTGGGGGAAGGTGCTAGCATCCTGGAGGAAACCAGAGTGGAGATGGGGTACTGCCAATCCAATAAGGATGGGGAAGAACATGTAAAGGGCAACAGCCTAGACAAAGGCCTGAAAACATTATTTGGTATACACTAAGGAGACTAGCCCAGCTGGTTTGGGGAGGAGGAAACGGGTATTTGAACCCAGCCTGCGTCCGAGCCCCAGACATTTCCCTGTTGCTGTTGGTGGAGCCTGGGAAGGTTCTTGAGCAGGGGAAGGAAAAGATGGGGTTAGCAGATTAAAAACCAGTGAGAAGTCCAGCCCATGGTGACCCTGGCTCTGTCTGTTCCCCAGGATGTGAAAGCCCAGCGCAGCCTGCCCCTCATTGGCTTTGAGGTGGGGCCTCCTGAGGCAGGGGAGCGGCCTGACAGACGGCACGTCTTCAAGATCACCCAGAGCCACCTGAGCTGGTACTTCAGCCCTGAGACAGAAGAGCTGCAGCGGCGCTGGATGGCCGTGCTCGGCCGGGCAGGCCGCGGGGACACCTTCTGCCCAGGGCCCACACTGTCTGAGGACAGGGAGATGGAGGAGGCACAGGTGGCAGCTTCAGGAGCCACTGCTGAACCCTCTGAAGCCCCCCAGACCCGAGACAAGACCTAGAGGGTTTGGGGGGAACTGGGGCCCCCTGCCCCCCCACTCTAGCTGCCCATGTCCAGTTGGGGGCCCCAGCCCCCTCCCTCCCAGCTCAATCAATACTTGAACTCCCATCATGGGCACTTTCGATCCTGAATGCTGGGTCTTGGGTTTTTTAATTCATCTTTTCACAAAACGTGGGCTTTTAAAAGAAATATTCCTACAGTGATGTTAATTTTTTTTAATGCCTGTCCCCAGGGAGGGTGGGAGCTGTTGCTAGACCTGCCTGAACTAGGCTGGTTTTCCCCCATATCCTCAGTACCCTACAGATCCTGCCTCCACCCAATTTCCCCAAAAGCACCAGAGGCAGGAGACCTGGATTCAAGTGCCAGTTCTTCCACTGAGTCCATGGCCGAGGCCCACCCTTGCCCCTCATCCAGTGTTTCACATGTATGATGCTAGGTGGGGCAGTGACCAGGTCCTTCCTGCCTCTCCATGGCTTACAGCTTCTACCCAGCCCCAAAGCTACCCAGTATTTTATCGTCCAGACCCATGGCAGGGCCACCGGGCAGGACAGGGGAACAGGGGGAAGAATAATGGATACTTGGTTTTGTTTTGTTTTTTAAAGAAAAATACAGTTTATTTCAGGATTACAGAAACTTTCAGAGCACTGCTGTGCTCCATTCATCCGTTTGTTTGTCCAAAGTACCAGACTGCTAGGGTGGGCCCAGAATCTGCTCCCTTGCTGAGCTCTGAATCTCAGCTCCCAGAAGGCTGATTCCAAGGCTACTTACAACAGGTCAAGCAACAGATTAAACATGAAGGTATTATTTATTTAAGTCTTAAGCCTCATCCCTGGACTTGGATAGAACCGGATGAAGTTTGGAAAAAGATTGGAGGAAACAAATCAAAGCCCAGGTTCCCCAAGTTCACCACCTTGTAAGGTCTTAGACTTCCTGAAGGAACCCAGGGCTGGAGGCTGGGCTGCATGACTGATGTGTTCCTGGTAGGTTCCAATTTCTGGACAGGGGTACAGAGCCGCTACTGCTGCGTGTGTGTGCGCGCACGTGTGCATACGTGTACACGGGAAGTGGGAGAGGTAGCACAGCTACTTTCGTTCACAGAGTCAATGAATCTCAGTTGCACGTTCATCTCACCATTCCTGACCCAACAGGGGTATTGGTTCTGCTGGTCCTCTCCCTTCATAAATCTACCTGCCCGCTGTCAACCAGCATTCAGCTTCTCCAACCACACCCACAACCACTCATCCTTCTATCTTCACACTGACTACACCCAAGGCACTGCTGGGAAACCAGGCCTCATCATTCAGATAGTAACTTACAGGCCAAGGACCCTAGGGCTCTTCTTCCCCTGGAGGAAGCTAGACAGGGGAATAGGGAGAGGGTGGAGTTGGGATAACCAGTCCAAAGGTCCACAGTTCTCCAAAAACATCTCAAAACAAACAGGCCCACTCATTTCTTTCTTCGGACAATGGTCCAGCCATCCTCCACTATATCTTCTTCCTTAATAGTCTGGGAGTCTGCACCAGAGGGTTCAGGCTGGGGGCAGACTCCATCGGTAGCTGCCCCATCATTCATAGCTGTGACCTGGAGGAAAAATACAAGAGAGAGCTAAATACAATGCCTCCTAGCTGTGGCCATTGGGAGATCCAGGCTCTCCTCCCAGCTTATCAAGGATTGGCTGTGTGACCTTAGGAAAGTTCCTTGCCCTCTCTGGATAATACAACCGCTACCACCCCACCCCCATCAGTTCCCTATGAAACTAGCTGACCTCCCAGAAAATTGAAAATATCTACATCTCTCCACCCAAGGGCATCCCTTTCACCTCCATCTCCTCCACGCTGTCCGCATCATCCTCATCTGTCTCTCTGGCTGTGTTAAGTGCGGTGGCTCTAACCCTGCACTTTCTTTGGGTGATGTGGGAGGCCATCTCCTTCAGAGTGGCCCCATCACCCCTCTGGAAGTGGTGGAACATGGTCTTCAGCTGCTGGCTCACCTACCAAGAAAACATTCAACCAGCTTGGATTTTCTAGAGAACCTACAACACAACAGCCCATGTTTGCAGCAAGACTGGGGAAGGGTTTGGAATATTCCAAAAGAGAAGGGGGCTCTTTCCTCCCCCAAGTAGTTCACTAATGAAGGAACCACAAATGAAGAGCTCAGGTAAAGGCCTAAAGAACTGAAGGGGGCTCTTGGCAGGGAAGGCACTAAAACTGGGTTTGAAAGGTGGAAGCTGTAAAAAGGAAGGCGCCAGGAGCGGGAGTGATGTTAACCAGAGCAGGGGTGAAAATGTACCTGGCCCGGCCTGCCCTTGGGATGGGGGTGAGAAGCAGATCTGATCTGGCTGAGAAGAATGTCTCAAGAGAAAAGAGAACAGGCAGGGTTTGGAAAGACCTTGGAAAACTAGACTTTTCCATTAGGCAACAGGGAGTCATAAAAGGTTCTTGTGCAAGACTCAAGAAAAGAATGGTTAGAGCCAAGAGTCTTAGCCTAAAATAAGACACTTGGGGAAAAGAAAGACTGCAGGCAAGGAGATGGCACTTGTGTCCATGACATGCTCACCTGGGGCAGACTCCCGTCCTCCACAACTGTATCAAACTCGTTGGTCATGAGCTCCCCAAGGAAGTCCTCCACCTCATCTAGCTCCAAGTCAGCTGAGTAGGAAAGGACAGGGCCCTTTGGTCAAAGACCAGCCAACTTCATCACTCCTGCTTGCTATTCTTCAATACCTACTTGCTGGGTCCACATCTGGTTGGTAGGTAAGGGTCCAAACAGCAAGCCTTTTATTCACTGAAGTCAGCGGTGGGAAACCTTTTTTCTGCCAAGGGCCATTTGGATATTTATAACATCATTCACAGGCCATACAAAATCATCAACTAAAAATTATCTTGCTATATTTGGTCAGGCTAATTCGGTGAGGCATGTGATGTCAGCTGGTATTGATTTCACGGGCCTTATTCAGCCCACGGGCCAGACTTTCCCTACCCCTGGCTGAAGTGCTCTGCATTCCAGGTTTGAACGTTACTTTTTTTTAAAATGGAGAGGCCCGCCCTAGCTGGTTTGGCTCAGCAGTTAGAGCACTGGCCCTTGGACCAAAGGGTCAAAGGTTTGATTCCTGTTCAAGGCCACGTACCTGAGTTGCAGGTTCGATCCGCAGCCCAGTTGGGGTTGTGCAGGAGGCAACTGATCGATCACATCGATGTTTCTCTCCCTCCCTCCATTCCTTCCACTCTATCTAAAAATCAATGGAAAAATATCCTCAGGTGAGGATTAATAAAAATAAAATAAGCCCTGGCCGGTTTGGCTCAGCGGTTAGAGCGTCCGCCTGCGGTCCAGAGAGACCCGGGTTCGGTTCCCGCTAAGGGCATGTACCTTGGTTGCAGTTTGTCCCCGGCCCTGGTTGGTCGTGCGGGTGGCAGCCACTCGATGTGTCCCTTTCACATCGATGTTTCCCTCTCTCTCTCTTCCTCTCTCTCCCTCCCACTCTGTCTGTGCAAAAAATGGAAAAATGTCCTCGGGTGAGGATAAAAAAAAAATAAAATAAAAAAAATAAAATGGAGAGACTCTTCATAACTGTGGCTCCACTGATACAGGAGGCCACAGACCAATGAGATAGGTAAGAAAAAATGGATAGAAGTACTTGCAATGATGAAATAACATAGCCTTGACATCAACATCTATTGTGTGACTTTGGCTAAGCCTCTCTCTCTGGGCTTCCATTACCTTAATGGGCCCATCCTCTTTTTCTGAATTGAAGAATTACTCTCAAGAAAATCTTCCACAAAGTTTCTCAATTTCTCTTCCCTCTGGAAGACCTCATTCACCTCCCCCTGGCTTTCCCAACCACTCTAACCTAATATCCTCCAAATCTGTCTCCAACCCAGACTGTTTCACCTGTTTCACAGGTGCTTCAGACAGTCCATATCTAAAGCCAGACTCCTCATCACCTTATCCTCCAAACCTACTTATCCTCCAGGGTTCCTCTGTACCATGAAAGGCACGTAATTCACCAGGCCACTCATACCAGAAACCTGCCTCCTATTCCTTCCCCCTCTACAGCCAATCTCCAAGTCCCTAATCCACCCCTTCTTTTCCATGATTATCACCACAGCCTTAGTTCAGGCCTCATCACTTTCTACACACAGCCTCCTTAACTGTCTTTTCCTCTCCAGTCCGTGCTCCATACTGATTACTTTCTGAGCTTTCTAGCCAGTAAATCCCATCCTATTACCTTAGAATCTGCCAATGAATTTTTGTCCCCTACTACGGTGTTCATATTGTGCTTTTGAGAAATAATTGTCCTGCTGGGTTTTAAAGGAATCTATTGTAGAAATCTAATGGAAAACAAAGGTAAACAGGCTTCTTTTTAGTAGTTCGCATCCAAGCCTTTACTATGTTAATGATTATTGTGACTTTTAAGTAGCAGCTGAAGAAAAGAGCTTTTCTTACGTAATTTGACTGGACACCATTTTTCTTCATTAAACATGTAGCAGAACTACTCTTCCATAGCATGCATTTTGGTAAACACTGGCCTTAAGGACAAAAATCAAAGGGTTGTAAGGCCTTCCGCATCCTACCCTTTTCCTGGGCCACCCCATCCCCCAGCTTCACTCTGCTACTCCTCTCCTCCACACACCACACACACTCTTACTCCAATACTGAGCACCCTATCACTTTCCAAATATAACACATAATCTCCTCATACCACAGAACTTATTGAAGTGTTGCTCTCCCTGCCTCCACCACGTAGTTAACTCCTTCTCATCCCTTAAGATTCAGCTCAATCACCACCAAAGCAGCCTCCTCCCAAGTCTCATGTTACCCAAGCACCCTGAGATCCTCTTTAATAGAACACCTGTATGTAAATGCCTGTTTACTTATCTGGATCTCTCACTACATGGTAAACTTCCTTGAGAGAAAGGTCTCTGCCTAATGTCATCTCCAAGACTAAAACACTGAATGAAGAATTTTGTAAAAATCATACTATGGACAAGGCCCTCTGCAGGGTCCCTTATTCTTATATGACCCTCAAGACACATCAAAGGTGTAGATTACAGTTGTTCAAATAGCCAAATGTGGTTACTGAACACTTAAAATGTGGCTAGGCCAAACTGAGATTTGCTAAAACTGCGAAATACTCAGAATTTGGAAATTTAATGCTAAAAAACGGTTAAAATAACTGCAGAGAAAAAAAAAAAACTTTAAGTAACATGATGTCACTCGCATTATTTCTATTGGACAGCACTGAGGTGGCTACTTCCACACCCATTTTAGGAATTAGAAAACTAAGTCTCAGGGTGGTAAAATTACTTGCCCAGTGTGATACCATGAGTGATACCGCCCGTGAGGCACCTAAACTCAGGATGCCGACCCCAAAGCCTGTATTCATTCCACCTCGCCCTCAGGTACCCATTGCTCAAGAGGAAGTGCAGCGTCTCACCACTCGCGTCTGGCTCCCCACCCTCCGCCGCCGCCGCCGCCTCCGCTCACCCCACGTGCCCCCACCCCCCACACACAGACCGCAGCACCTCACGAGCACTCACCATTGCGGAAGAAGTACTCCTCCACGGCACCTCCCAGCCACTCGGCCTTCTCCTGGCTGTGCACACCCCCGAAGCCATTCTCCACGGCGATCTGCGAACACAGGCCCAAGCCGACCACGTCAGCCCGAGCGCCCGCTCGAGGTGGCGCAGGAGTTCGCCGCTTTTGCCGTCGAGCCGCAAGCGCCAGTCCCGGCCAACCCCTAACCTGCTCCAGGCTGTACCCATTCCCCGCCCGGCCCCACTCACCTGCAGGGCGGGCCAGGCCTCCAGCGCCGCGCGCACGCCAGCTCCGAAGAGGGCTCTCAAACCTTCCCCGGCACCCGCCATCATCTGGCCTCGGAGCACGTGACGCCCCGGGGAGCCAATCGCTCCTCAGCACGGCCCAGGCAGAAGGAGTCGAAAGCCGAGCCTGAGAACGCGGAGTCCTCTTTCCGCTGACCTGGCAGCAAGACTAGAGCAATAGAAAAGTCTGTCAGAGCAGCGAGGGCACCGCTGCAGTTACCGCTCGCAGAGATTCAATCAAAGGAAGCCAGAGTGGAGTGTGCGGGGACCATGGGTTCGGAACCCCTGCGCTTCCGGCCGTGTGTATGCCGCAGAAAAGATGTGGGGAGCCCTGGTGGGGCAGCTCAGTTGGTTAGAACGTCGCCCCCATATGGCGAAGATTGTGTGTTCCATCCTGGTCAGGGCTCATACAAGTACCAACCAATGAATATGCATACATTAGTGGAACAACAAGTTGATGTTTCTCTCTATATAGAATAAATTAAATAAATAAATAAATAAATAAATAAATAAATAAATAAATAAATAAATAAATAAGAAGGATCTCAAATTAATAACCTAACCTTCCACCTTAGGAAACTAGAAAAAGAACAAAATAATTGCAAAGCAAGCAGAAAGAAGGAAATAAAAATTGGAGAAGAAATAAATGGAATAGAAAAACAAAAAACAAAAAAAACAATGAAACCAAAAGTTGTTTATTTGAAAAGATCAACAAAATTGGCAAACCTTTAGCTAGATTGGCTGAGAGAGAGAGAGAGAGAGAAAGCTCAACTTACTGAAATCAGGAATGAAGGAGGTGACATCACTACTGACTAGACAAAAAAAAGGCCACATTGGTCCAGCCGGTGTGGCTCAGTGGTTGAGTGTCCACCCATGCACCAGGAGGTCACTGGTTCAGTTCCCAGTCAGAGCACATACCCGGGTTGTGAGCCAAATCCCAATTGGAGGGCATGCAGGAAGTGGGCAGTCGATCTCTCTCATGGATGTTTCTGGCTCTCTCTCCTTCTTCCTCTCTCTCTAAAATCAATAAAGAAAAAAACAAAGACCACATTGTATGATACCATTTATATGAACTGTACAGAACAGGCAAATCTGTAGAGACAGAAAATAAATTAGTGGTTACCCAGGGCTTGGCGGGGCAGGGGTCTGACTCTTAAGGGGTACAAGATTTTTGGGGGGGTGATGAAAATATTCTAAAATGACATGTGGAAGCCCTGGCCAGTTTGGCTCAGCAGTTAGAGCGTCGGCCTGTGGACCAGAGAGTCCTGGGTTTGGTTCCCACTAAGGGCACGTACCTCCTCAGTTGCAGTTTGTCCCCGCCCTAACTGGGGTCCTGTGGGTGGCAACCACTCAAGGTGTCTCTCTCCCATCGATGTTTCTCTCTCTCTCTCTTCCCCCCTCTCTCCCTCCTGCTTTATCTGAAGATAAATTAAAAAATGTCCTCGGGTGAGGATTAAAAAAATAAAATAAAATAAAATTACATGTGGTGATGGTTGCTGTAGGAGCTGAGTCCCTCGCCCCCCAACTCATATGTTAGAGTCATAACCCCAATACCTCAGAATGTAGAAATGTATTCAGAGATAGAGCCTTTAAAGAGATAATTAAGATAAAATGAGGCCTCATGGGTACATCCTAATCCAATGACTGGTGTGCTTGTAAGAAGAAGAAATTAGGACACAGAGAGAGACACACCAGACACGTGCATGCATGGAGAGGTGACCATGTGAACACAGAGAGAAAGTGCACATCTACATGCCAAGCTGAAAGGCCTTAGAAGAAACCAAACCTGCCAACACCTTAATATTGCACCTCTAGCTTCTAGACTTTAGAGAAAATAAATTTGTGTTGTTAAAGCCACCAGAATGTAGTATTTTGTTATGGCAGCCCTAGCAAACTAATACAATTGCACAACTCTGTGAGCATATTAAAAACCATTGAATTGTACACTTCAAATGAGTGAAACTTATAAATAATATTTCAGTAAAGCTATTCTTAGAAAAGTATTGTAGATGTCTTTCTCTCACAGCAATGTTTGCAACTTTTGTTTTTGTTTCTGTTTTCTTTATTGATTTAGAGAGAGAGAGAAAGGGAGAGGGAGAGAGATAGAAACATCGATGAGAGAGAACATCAATTGACTGCCTCCTGCATGCCCCCCACTGGAGATCGGGCCCACAAACTGAGCATGTGCCCTGACCAGGGGTTGGACCAGAGATATCTTGGTGCATGGATAAATACTCAACCACTGAGCCACACCGGCCGGGCAAGTTTGCACATTTTGTACTAGACTCTTGTTAACAAACAATACTGATGATTCTGTGCCTGGCCCTCTGCTGAATGCTGTTGGATCATGGGGCTTGGTCAGATGCTCAAGGAGCTCAAAGTCTCCCATGCAAGATTTGTCCAGGGACCATAGAGTATGATCAGTGCTCAGGGTGAATCTAGGTTTTGAAAGGCCTGAAGCAGATAGAATTTTGCAAGCTCTCTTTAAGAAAAATAGTACAGCCCTGGCTGGTGTGGCTCAGTTGATTGAGGGTCACCAGTTCAATTCCCAGCCAGGGCACATGCCTGGGTTTCAGGCTCAATTCCCAGAAGGGGCATGCAGAAGGGGCATGCAGAAGGGAGCTGATCGATGTTTCTCTCTCTCCCTCTCCCTTCCTCTCTCCAAAATCAATGAACACATATTTTTTAAAGCTTTTTTTTTTTTAACAAAAATAGTACAAATTTAGGTGTGATAGTGAACATTGCTTTGGACTTACAAAAGAAATGACAAATTTTACAAATTATAATTTTTAAACTGACAAATGCCACAAACACTCAAATCCAGAAAAAAATAAAATATTCTTTTTAATTGCCTGACTCACCCCTCTACTAATGTTTCCATTTTTATATCCTCTTGTAAATAAATAGGACGATTATTTTACAATAACATTTCCTAGAAAGATTTTAAAAATTCAACTTCATTCAGTTGATCAAAACTTTTTATTATTGGTAGTTTAGAGAAGTTTCAACTGCGCAACTCGTTATTAGTAATGTAAATTCTAAGATTGTTATCAAATTTGGGGAAGTCTCTATCTAGTTTCTTTTACATGCAAGCTAAAATTTCAGGGTATTTTAACTGTTCTTGTGCATTGACAAATCTTAAATAAGTTTCAAATTGACAATGCTCAATAAAACAACCGAGGACTTGAAACTGGCCTCTAAGTGCCGGGCATAGTTCTCCAGCTCTGTGCAGGGCCTTAAGAGAAAAGAGCCGGGAAGCCCAGAAGAGTCCAGCAGGGGGGGCCCTGATCCAGCCATGAGGGTTGTGGCAAGCCTGTCAGAGATGATGCCAGAGGTCTGAGTGGAATTTTGCAAGGCCATGGGGAGTTTGTGTGTATGAGAGCGGGGGTGTTACTAAAAGAAAGATAGAGCCTTTCATGCTGAGAAAATAATGTATATACAAAGACCCAGAGGCAGGAAACAACATGGTGTGTGATGAGCATCATGAACATTCCCAGACTGATAAGCTCAGGAGGCATAAACTCCTACCAAGCTCTGGAGACTCATTCTGGCAGATATAGCAATTTAAACGCAGCAATTTAGATTGAGTTCAAAGAAGCCCAAATGAAGAAGCTGAGATTAAGCAACTCTGCCTGAGTTCCCAGGGTCTGAAGTCTCAAACACACATAAGGAAGTAGATTAGAGTCTGGTCACCAGTTACAATGCGTGTGGGGGTTTCTCCCACACCACCAAGCAATTCAACTCAATTCTGACACTATCTATCTGGAGGTAGCATCATTAATTTCACAAGTTAAGGGTTTAGTCCTACAAGACTCCACCCCCACCAACACACATTTCAGACTCCAATTGCAAATCCAGGTTGTTACCTGGGCTCCTGACCAACCAGCTATAGATCAGAGGTGCCAACCACCCCTCTTTGGATTCTATTAATTTGCTAGAGTGGCCCACAGAACTCAGAGAAACATTTTACTTGCTAGATCACCAGCTTATTATAAAAGGATATAATGGGAGCAGCCAGATGGAAGAGATGCATAGGACAAGGTGAGAGGAAGGGGTGCAGAGCTTCCATGCTCTGCCAAGGCACGACTCTCCCCGCATGACCATGTGTTTATCAATCTGAAAGCTCTCTGAACCCTGTCCTTCGGGTTTTTATGGAGGCTTCATCATAGGCATAATTTAATAACTCACTGGCTATTGGTGCTTGAAGTCAATCTCCAGCCTCTCTCCCCTTCCAGGAGGTCATAGGATAAGACTGAAAGTTCCAACCCTCTAATCACATGGTTGGCTCCACAGGCAATGAGCCCCCTCCTTACTGAGGAACTTTCCAAAAGTCACCTCATTAACATAAAAAAGACACCTTTTCCCACTGTTATCATTTAGGAAACTCTAAAGAGGAATTAGGAGCTCTGTGCTAGAAAAGTGCTGAAAGACCAAATATCCAAATACATATATCTTATTATAAATCACAATACCACAGTAGGCCTGCTAGAAATCCCCACACATGGAGCCCCCTTTTGGGCTCCAACAAATCAAGGCCTCTGAATGAACCCTGAGATTTAGCCTCGAGAATTTCTTCACCTATTCTCTGACTTGAACCCATCTGGCAATCTGGTGAATCTAATACATCCCTTCCCAGAATAATGTTTTTATTTACTTTTTTTTTAAATCCTCACCCAAGGATATTTTTCCATTTATCTTCAGGTAGAGTGATAGGGAGGGAGGAAGAGAGGGAGGAGGAAAGAGAGAGAGAGAGAGAGAGAAACATCCACGTGAGAGGAACACATAGATTTGTTGCCTCCCGCACGAACCTGACCAGGGCCTGGGACGAATCACAACCGAGTTACATGCCCTTGACTGGAATCGAACCTGGGACTCATTGGTCGGCAGGCCGCTGCTCTAACAGCTAAGCCAAACTGGCAAGGGCTTTAGTTTTTAAAAATCTATTGATTTTATGGAAGAGAGAATGATTTGTTGTTCCACTTATTTCTGCATTCATTGCTTAGTTCCTATATGTGCCCTGAATGAGGATTGAACCCACAACCTTGGCACATTGGGAC